CTCTTACTTTAAAAGAAAGTATGTTTCCATAGATTATTAACGCCGATTAACGCGTTCTTATACTTAGATAAGTTATCCTTTACGTTTATCGTTAGAAATCCGGGATATTAATATTCTGATATTACGAAACTATTACATTTTAATATATGTATATTTTAATATTTAAAGGGAAAGTAAGGAAAGTAATTTATATTAATAAAAGTAAAAGAAAAAGAAAAGAAAAGAAATACGCGTTTAAAAATAAGCTAGAAGTAATATATACCCGCCGATTAGTACTTCTTTCTTTCTCTTAGTCTCCTTACCTTATCCCTTACTTACTAGTTCCTAAGAAAACTAAAAACTTACTTACTTTCCGACCCCCGGAACGTAGCGATCTTTAAATTTATTATAATTAATAACTCGTCCCCCGTTACCCGTATTATAAGCCGGCATACGGCTTAGCTTAGATCTTTTACTAGAGGAAGGTTACGATCTATCCTTATCCGTAGGTAGGCGAACCGCTTATCCCGAAATTTATAACGTACCTCGTTAATAAAGAAAAAGTAGATACCGTAAAAGTACTTAAAGATACGATCGGGGGTTAGGGAACGATAGGAAAAAAATAGTTATATACCTACGTATTTAGCGGTATCGGAAGGGGCGAGCCGGCGCTCGTAGTACTAATAAGATACCTCGTTAGATACCTTATATTATTAAACGAATAAACTAACGACGTAACGAGAATCCGTCGTTAATCGACGGAAATATTCGTTAACTAGCCCTTTATTCTTAATCTTTATAAATAACGTCCAACGGCGAAAGGAGTAAACGTAACGAATAAGGAATATAGCATAGCTTTAAAGGTAGGTAACCTCCTAAAAATCCTTACTTAAGATTTCCTATACGATATATCGGCCGGCCGCCGGCTTATTTAGAAAATAAAACCAAACGTTACGAATTATATTACTATTAATTAATATAACCTTCGATTAATAAATCCTATTAATATTAAGAGCTATATATCTAGCGTTATTAGTTTATTACCCGAATTCCTTCGATACCTCGGAGTTACCGGCCGATAATTACTTTCGGGCTTTAATTTAAGGTGTAGAAGTACGGGATATACGGTACTTATTAAGGCTTAAGGATTAGCCGATTAACGTCCCGGAATTCCTCGGTAGAAGGTAAGCGGCGGAAGGATTCGTTAGGTTACTTATTTATTAGTTTTACTAGTAGCGGTATCGACTTAATCCGCTAATACGTTACGGCTTTTTTCTTATCCTCCTTAGCCTTTCTAAATACCCCGGCGATTTCTTCGTCGGTAATTCCTATAGCCTTAAGCTATTTAAATAACTTAAAGGCGGACGCCCGGTTTAATTTAAGGAGTTCCTTTTAGAGGGTAGGGTTTATAATATATATATATATATAAGAAAGAAAGAAAGGAACGACGAAATTATAAATCTAGAATTAAGAAAAATCGAAAAACAAACTAAAACGAAAATAGAGAACCTAAGAAAAGGAAGAAAGGAAATAGATCGGAACCGTAGAATAGCGAGAAATAAAAGAGGAGGTCGGACGAGAATAAGAGAGTCGAATACGTTACCTAGGTCGTAAGTACCATCCTTAAGAGAATCTCGATAGTATCTACCTTAGCCTACGTTTAATTACGAATCTACGAACGTACGTATTTATTACTTTATTAAGAATATATAATAGAAAGTTATAAGCTAGCGGATTTCTTATTATAGCTTTATACGTATACGGGAAAACGCGTTTTCCTAAAACGTTAACCGTAAAGGTATATCTAATTATATCGTTAATACGTTTTCTTTCCTCCTTTTCTTTTTCCTCTTTAAGTATTTTATTTCGAAAACCTCCTCCTTATAATTATTATATTCTTATTAATCTCTAGCTTACCTTTCTTATTATTAATTTAAATTCTTATTTTTACCTTTAATTTATTGTCTTTTTTTCTTCTTTTTAATTCTTTTTTTTATTTTTTACGATATCTTTCCTCCACTTCGCCGGTATCCCTCCTTCCTTCTCCCTTTCCTCCGTTTATAGAGACGTACGTCGCACTAATCTAGCCGACTTAATAGAACTTTTACGAGAGATTTACGGTAGTAAAGATAACTAGAGTAATAGAGAGAAGTACTAGCTTAGTACTCTAGATAACTACGATTCGGATAAGGGCCCGATCGAGCTAGGATCCGATATAGCCTAAGCCTTCCGGCTAACCGTTAATCGGCCCCGAACTATAAACTAATAATAATAAGAATAAATAAAGGTAATCCTAATTAATTCTTTCGTATACCTCGCTCGTTACGATTACCTTACTAACGAAGATATCCGCGCTCTTTATATTATAATAAGTTACGACCTCGAAGGTAAAAGGCGGCCTTCGAAGTAGACCCGTATTAAACGATAAACTATCGATCGGTAGGATCGTTTAACTTCCTAATCCGTTAATACCTCCTCGATAACCCTACCTTTACTTTAGTTTTTACGATTTATACGGATTTAATAAACCCCGAACGAATTATTACCGACCTCGAAAGGTTCTCCTAAGCTTATTTCGCCGTAATATTATACCTTCCTAAGCCCCGGAGATTATTTAGCTTTAATATAGTTAGGAACGACGCCTCCGATTAAGCGGCGTATACGTTCGGTTAATTACGGCGAGCATAGGAAAACGATAATCTCGAGCCTAGCATAATCCCTTAATTTATTTATTACGTCGCGCTAGTAAACTAATAAGATAGTTATAGTTACGGTTTTTAAAACAGTACTTTATCGTATTTTATTTTTAAATAACCGATCGAGGTCGCTTACTAAGCCTAAGAAAATAAAGGGCTTAATTTCCTTAATATTATAAGAAAGTACGCCGAGATAGTAAAGTAATTTTATAGCGTTCGGGTTTTAAAGGAAGGGGTTAGTATCGTTAAGCGTTTCCGGTAAGCCGTAAATTATTAAAAGCGAATCGACCTTATTAACGTTATAGCGTTCGTTTAAAATATATTAATCGGCGAGCCCCTTAGCCGTAAATCCTTCGTCCGGTTTATCGCGTAAGCTAAGGTCCGCCGTTCTTCCGTAACCTTAGTACCTAATCCCTCTTACTTCCTCGTATCGGCGGATATAAACCTCCGTTACGATAACCTCGTTAAGGTTACGACGCGTTTCCTCCCTTCCTCCGGCCTAATAAAAATTAGAGCTTTCTAATCCGGAAAGACTTCTATACTATATAGGTAAAGGAAAGATACCTAATTAACCCTTAGGACGCGTCCGTTTCCTTACTATTCCTTTAATTAAGAAGGGTAGGCCGAGATTAAGAAGAAGGTAGCCGAGGTAAAGAAGGAATACGCCGATCGGGTTAGATCGGTAAGGGTAAACTAAGCTAAGTTAATCGTAAAGTAATAAAAAGGCCTCCTTATTATATTAAACGATAAACTAAAGCCCCGCCTTTAGTAATTAAATAATAATTAGTAGAATAGAGTTTTGCAGTAGTTTTTAAAGAGAGATATTAATCAGGATATATTATATTATTCTTTTTAATTTAATTATTCCTTACGCTATAATTAAACTAAGAAGGCTATAATAATACGGTAAGATATATCCTTTCGATATATTACGTAATATATTACGATAGGCCTTATACTTATATAAAGTAACCATAGCTTCCGTAAGTATAAGTTATGCTATAATTATTATTTAGTTTATTATCTAATTAGATTATTATTTTTATTATTTTTACCTGGATTAAAGATTCGTTTTTATTATTAGATTTGCTATTTTCCGATTAATATATTTATTTTAATTATAGGCGCTTAAGTCGCTTCGTCGTACCGCTATAGCCGAATAAGTAACTTTTACATTTTACCCTTTTTCTCCCCTTACTTCTTATACCTTCGGGCTAGCGACTACTATATCTCTACGACTAAGGGGTATAGCTAAGATACGATAATTATATTAGATTCCTTATCTCTCGATTAGTATAGCGGTCCTAGTTTCATCCATCTTAGACCATCGTACGAGCTATAGTCTTCGATAGAGTATACTTTTGAGTAAACCTATCCGGGCCTCTAGCATCGCGTACGCTCTGCTCCTCCTTAATAATAAATTAAATTAAAGTAAATTAAAGATTTCATTATAATGTTCTTATATTTTTATAAGTATATCTTTATATAATTTTTTATTAATATCTATTTATATATATCTATTAATATATATTATGAATTTAGAATATAATATTTTAAGAATTAAAACCTATAATGTAAGAAATAAAATATAGAATTTAAATATAAAGAATTTAAAGATTTATAGCTTGAGAAATTAGTATATTTAATAGTTAAAAATTCTAACAATGAAAAGATTAATTTAAAATTAATATTATTTTATAAATATAATAATATAAAGCTATTAAGTTATTATTATTATATAAAACTTATTAATGATATAATAATATAATTAAAATAAATTTAAATAATAATGTTTAATACTATAATAAATCTTTTCTTAAGTAATTTAATATTTAAATTTATAAAATTTCATGAAAAAAAACTTAAAAAAACTTAAACTTAACTTAAACTTCACTTAAGTTTCAGGATCACAAACTTAACTTATAAACTTGAACTTTTTTTTTCAACCCTGCCCACAGCCTGTTACAAGTTGCTAGGCCTCAAGCCCCTGGATGTTGCTACTGGAAGCTTGCCAAGAGCCTGGCTGCAGAGCGTCAAGAGCTGGTGCCTGGCTACAGGCAGCTTTCCCAATAAGGCCGGTACGTGGCTACCAGGCCCATATTTCTTCATCCCGCTATTGTCAGCAACATGCGGCTACTGACATGGGCCTTCGTCCTGTAGTCGGCGTATTATTATTCCGTCCCGTGGTCCTATTTGAGGCAGCCTCTTGTTGGGTCGTGACACTTCCCTCCACCAACAAAACAGCACCTTAGTTCATCACACAACATTGACGACACTCGAAGAGCCGCTACGTTCCATACGACAAGTCTAATATATCCTCCAAAAATGCCAGCTACAGATGCTCTCCGTGAGTTGAAGATTCATTCCCCATAACTCCCCTTCCCCCCCAAAAAACCACCCAGCTAATCTTTAAGCTTTAGAGCCCCCTCTAAGCGAAACCGAACGTGAGATCTGCAAGTCATACGGCGGCTGGACTAATTTCATGCATTCTTCCGGTCTCAAGCCGTGGAATGACGAGGACCAGGCTGAAGGCAAGACTATCATAGCAGCCTTTGCGAGTGATAAGGATGAAGATAACACTGCTAATAAAACAAACAAGGCCAATAATAGTGCTAGTAGTGGCTCATAGCTCAATTTCTGCACTCTATAGAGGGCACGGAAGAAAGAGCCTTTTGTTCCTTAAGGCATAGGTGTTTTTACCAGCTACGGCTATATGATTGAAGTTTCGGAGGCATTTGTGCCGTAGTTAGAAGGAATAAGACCACACACTTGCTATGGTACGAATGGAAAGACTTAGAAGAGGATTTCCCACTGTGTCAGCCTTGCACTATGTTGCTTTCCTCTTATGATAAGAGATCTGCTGGCCACCTTCCGTCTGTTACCTCCTAAGCATTCGAGTTTCGAGTGTATCCTATAACTGCAGTGACAATATGGCGCGGTAGGTAACTATGGGAAGCAGGGTCCGATGTTTATGGATATAGATGATCTAGGAGTATGCATTCGCGCTCTATTCGGTAGAGAATAAAGCTGGGGCCGCAGATATCTAGAGTATATTCGTGTGGATAGTCGCGTGGGCAGCGTTGTGATTTTAGTTAATTATTCCAGTTTACCTCCAGAATAAGAATAACGAAAACAAATATAATAACAACTAAATAAAATAAAAAAGAATTTCTACGGAATAAAAATAAACTAAATTAACTAAGGATTACCTAAATTAACTAAAAAACTTAATATTTTCAATATTTTTAAAAAAAAATTAATATACATATGTTACGTAGAGGTGGCACCTTAGGTTGCTCCTCTTCGTTGCTTACCTTAGCAACAGGAGCTCCTATATATTCGCTTCGTTACTTTTACTCCTTTAACTCGTTCTTAGATAAATGGAAGACCTTTTCTCTCCTTTCGCTCCTCCTTCCGTTGCTCGTAAGATAGCTCTTTACGTGCGCTCTCGCGTACGTAGCTCCTACTAATAGCTACTGAACAGGAGCAGCGTGGGCACGCTGTGATGGAGGCACGAAACAAGGACTACCCAACTGCCAACAACTGGCCCAGTGCTGATCAACCAAGATTACAGCTGTAAACAGCTATAATCGGTTAATCGGCCAGCTGAAAACGGCAGCTAGGAAAGAAAAAGGAGAGAGGACTAGAAAAGGGCAACGAGGATAGCGAGAAAAGGCATGGCGAGAAACGAGTAAATAGCTAATAGCTGTAATATCTGTAATAGCTATAGGTCTAAGTCTAGCTAATGAAAATATAAGTACGCGACCTATATAAATAGACATCGAAAAGGCTACGTATATAATGGGCTGCGCCTAGTCATAGAACCCTGGTTAGCATAGCACCAGGGTACGTAACCGCTCCTCCCGTATATAGCTAGCTCCTAAAGGCGCGGCCTTAGCAGAGCGTACCTTTCTTCCTTTTCCTCTTCGTATAGCTTTATTCCTTTAATTTATACCCTTTTACCTAGCGAATAGCTCTTAAAACCGTAATAAAAAGCTATACTATCTTTTCCGTAAGGTTAGTACTTAAACTTCCGATATCCGATTCCTAGATAGCGGAAGATAAGTCTAAGGCGTAGTCGAGCGCTTAGGAGGCGACGCTAGCCTATTACGTACTATTATAAGACCCTTACTTCCTAAACTTTATAAGAGAGTATATAACCGATTTCTTACGAAGTAACTCCCTAGTATCCGTACTACCGGTATCCGTACCCGTACCGGAGGTTATAATTACCCTACCTACGGACGTAAACGAAATTCGACGAAAACCTCTTAAGTAATACGAATAAAACGGAAAGGCTATATCGTTTTACTTTTACTTAGAAAAACTATAAGCGAAAATCTTAATCGACGCCTTAAACGGATTACTCGGTAATAATAACGCGATATGGTATTCTATCTTCGGTACGATATCCGAGGATCGGTAGCGGAAAATAGAATACTTCTAGAGATTTAACGGCTTAGAAGGTAGATTTTAACCTAAGGACTTACTAAGATATATAAAAGAGACGTTTAATAATATTTAGGTTAAGGAGGATACGTAATAAAAACTACGGAAATTACGATAAAAAGAAGAGGAGACTTTCGGAAGCTTTTTACTTAATTTCGAAGAGGTTTTAACGAACGTTAAAGGCTTTAATTAGGATAACGATAATAAGTTAACGTAACTAAAGGCGGTATTATTTAATTACCTTTAAAATATATTAATCCCGATTTAAATATCCTAAGATTACGATACCTTTATCGGTTAAATCTACTTAATCGCGTAACGTTATAAGTAAACCGCCGAATTTAAGCGACTCGCGAATTAATTAAGCGAAAATAAACGCTATTCGGCGATCCCGAGCTACGAATTAATATCCGTTACTTAACTCTCGGACTCCGTCCGGATAAATACTTAGGGCGATACGATTATAACGGGCTTTATTAGATCGTAAGAAAAGCCCCGCTAAACCTACGGCGGATCTAGTAGCGGGCCTAGTAATAATACCCGACGGATAAAGTAAATACCTTAGGAAGAATATAAGAAGAGAAAGGTCTAAGGTAGCTACTTCCGTTACGGCGTTAGTTAATATTAGATTAAGGATTACTCCTACCTACCGGTAGCTCGTCCGGGTAGCTAAAGGCGGTTCCCGCCCGTACCGGTACGGATAACGTAAGTTATCGAATTATTATTAAAAGAATTAAAGAATATATTAGTTAATATAACGGCGGAAAAAGAATAACTTCGTTACGAAGTCGGGTAACGGAGCTTAGCTAGGAGGTAATAAATAAATGGAAAGCCTATAAGGATAAAATAAAAAGTAATCCTTCGTTATTATTAGTTATAATTAATAAAACGTCGCTATCGGAAGCCCTTATAAACGAAGGTTACCTATATTTTATAGTTATTAATAAGGACCTATTTAGATCCCTTAACTTACCCCTTATTCCTATTCCTTTCCGTAGTATTAAAGGCGCTTTAGGCGTTATAGAAAAAGCGGTAATCCAAGGAATTACTTATATAGCTCTAAAGATTAACGAATATACGTAATTAATATACGCATACGTTATTCCGTTATTAGAATTCCTAATAATTTTAGGAAAACCGTAATAAATATATAACGAAGTAATTTCGTATCTATACGAAAATCGACTATAGTACGGAAGAGTACGAATAAGCGTATAATATAAGGGAAAGGAACGTACGATCCTGCTTATAAAGAAGCTAGAAAAGGCTTAATACGTATTAATTAATACGTTCGTAGGCTTAATTAAGAGGATACGCCGCCGTAAGAGAGAAGGAATAAATACGGAAGGTATGTCGATATTCGCGGCTTTCCTAGTAGATATAGAAAAAGCCTTAAAGCCGAAGCCCGTAAAAACGGAGGCGGAGCTACGAAAGATAATCCTACGGGAATTCTACGACCTATTCCCGCTATAGAAAAAAGAAGAAGCTAACCGTTTCGTTCCGTATCGCCCGGGCGTTAATTATAAAATCGATATAAAGAAAGAATTAAACGGAAAAAAGAATTTATTACTTTAAGGTTCCTTATATAAGATATTTCGGGAAGAACTTCTGGTATTACGGAAAACGCTCCGCGACTTACTAAATAAGGGATTTATCCGGGTTAGTAACTCGGAAGTAGAAGCCTTAGTCCTTTTCGCCCGTAAGCTAAAAGGAGGCCTTTAATTTTATTACGATTACCGGGCGTTAAATCGCTTAACCCGAAGGAACCGTTATCCGCTCCCGCTTATCGGCGATACCTTACGTAACCTAACGTCGGTAAAATAATTTACGAAGGTAAACGTAATCGCGGCCTTTTATAAAGTCCGTATTACGAAAGGTAACGAATTTAAAACGGCGTTTAGGACCCGATACGGTTTATTCGAATAACTAGTAATATCCTTCGGGCTAATAAACGTCCCGGTAACTTTCTAAAGATATATAAATAACGTTTTAAAGGGGTTTCTCGACGACTTTACTAGCGCTTATATAAACGATATTCTTATTTATACGAGCGGATTCTGTAAGGACTATATAGCTAAAGTACGTATAATCTTAAAGCGTTTTTACGAAGCCGGCCTCTACCTAGACCCCGGGAAGTACGAATTCGTAATAACGATTATTAAGTACCTAGGGTTTATTATATACGCCGGTAAGGGAATATAAATAAACCCGGAAAAAATAAAAGTAATATTAAACTAGGAGGCCCCTACCTTAATAAAAGAAGTTAGAAGCTTTCTAAGGTTCGTTAATTATTACCGTATATTTATCCCCGGATCCTTCGAAATTACCGCTTCTTTTACGGCTTTAATAAAGAAGAATTAACCTTTTAAATAGGACCTTATTTACGAAGAAGCGTTCTAGCGCTTAAAGACCTTATTTACGTCGGCGCTTATTTTAACGTAGTAAGACTTAAATAAATTAACGTTCCTAGAAGTAGATTACTCGGGGTAGGCGCTCGGCGGCGTATTATCCTAATAAGCCGGGGGGGGGAAAAAGGTAGTAACTTATTACTCTTAGAAGCTAGGGCTAACCGAAATTAACTACCCGATTTACGATAAGGAAATGTTAGCTATTATTAAGTACTTAGAATAATAAGACGCCGAGCTAAGGAGCTATAAGAAATTTATTATCTTAACCGATTATAAAAACCTCGAATATTTTATAACCCGCTAGCGCTTCTCGGAACGGTAAGCGCGTTAAGCGGAGCTCCTATCCCGGTATAACTTTAATTTCGTTTACCGCGCTAATAATTAAGCCGTAATTCCCGACGCGTTCTTCCGAAAGGATTAAGACCGGTTAAGCGTTAACGATAAGGAGTTACGGTATTTATAGCTTATCCTTAAAAGGACTCTTTAAAATTAAACCTACGTAGTAATAACGTTCTAGCCCGCCGGGCCCGATGTTAGAGTTTTTAAAGATAACGAACTCTAATCCCTATAGAAAAGAACGGCGTACCTCGATACGCTATATTAATAAACGTACTAAGCGGTAAAATAAGGCGTCCGTTCCTTAGTCCCGATTATAAAACTAAAGATATAAATCGCAGAGTATACGATAAACGCCGGAAGACGGTTATTATTTAAGGACCGGATATAAATACCGGAGGGTCCGCCTCCCGGAAACGCGGAAATAGATTCCCTA